GTGTGTGTGTGTGTGTGTGTGTGTGTGTGTGTGTGTCCTGCCAGGTTCTATATGCTTCTATTCTCTTTAGTTTAATGTTTGTAACTCATTTTAGAAAATCCTCAGCCATTATTTATTCAACTATTTCTTCTGCCCCATGTTCTCTTTCTTTTCCTCCTGAATGACATGCATATTAGACCATTTTATCCTGTTCCACAGCTCTTATATGTTCTGCAATTTTTCCCCACTCTTCTTTTTCTCTGCATTTATGTTTAGAAACATGCTACTGACCTATCTTCAAACTCACTCATTCTTTCCTTATGTCGTATCTACTGATGAGCTTGTCAAAGGCAATCTTCATCTTTGTTACTGTGTTTTTTATTTCTAGACTTTCTGATTCTTGCAGTTTTCATCTTTCTGCTGAAATTGTCTGGTCATGAGTTGTCTTTCTTTTCCATTAGAGCTCAAACACATAAACTGGTTATTTAAACATTTTTCTGATAGTTCCAAAATCTGTGCCATGCCTGAGTCTGATTCTTATGATTGTTTTGGCTTCTTAAGCTGTGTTTTTATAATTGCCCTTGGTATGCCTCAATATTTTTTGTTGAAAGCCAGACATTTGTATAGTGGGGCCCAGCAAACTTTCTCTGAAGAGGATCGGATAGTAAATATTTCAGGCTTTGAGGTCCACATACCTGCAGTCAGTTGCACTTCTTGTTCTTTTCCTCCTTCTTTTCTTTCTTCCTCTTTGTCCTCCTCCTTCTTCAACCCTTAAAAATGATGAACCCACAGGGCTGCTGAACAGCCCCAGACTAACTGTACTCACTCAGCCTCAGGAAGTCAGGACAGCTTCGTGGAAGAGGTGGCTTGGGGAGTTTTGAAGGAATATTCAGCATTTCCTGAGCAGTAGGTGGAAGAAACAGCTGGTGCCAAGTGCAAAGATACGTACGAGTCAGTGTGGGGAAGCTGAAGTCCAGCACACAGGATGCGATCTGGGCACACAGGTGGGGCCTCAAGTGCTGAGGCAGGGCACATGGACCGGGTATCCATCTGCCCCTCACAGCTCAGCATCCCATCCTCCACCACGGTGGGGATTTTAATAGGTTACTTTGCAAATTTGGGGACACACTTTCAATTTCTGGGGTTGGAATAACAGCTGGCAGATGCCAAGCCTTCTTACCAGAGCTTGTTGAAAGTTCAGTGTCACCTGTTTTTATGGGTGAGACTGCATTTTAAAACAGTTATGTCAGAGTATGCTTCCAGCAGTGCTGGTGGGAAATGCATGGAAAGATCCAGAACTTGTTTTGCCAGGAGCTGGGAGATGCAGCCAAGAGAAAATGGATCTGACCCCACAGCCACCTCCCAGTGCTATGAGGAGTCTAGCACACACAGGCCATCCACAGAGAAGCCCCAACATCAGAGTTGCTCCCCCACATGCCCACACTCCCTGCAGAGCCTGGTCAGTTTTCCTTCTGGGAAAGGGACCCAGAGGACGTGCCCTACCCCAGCATTAGAGCGCCTGCTGTGTGTCAGCCTGGTGGGGGGTGGAGGTCAGTGTTTTCACCCTGTGGGTGGACTCTAGACCCAGCTGTCCTGTGCAGAAGGGAGGGGCTTTCTCTGCCAAGTAGTGAGGGCATCGAATGGGGAGCTCAACCTCTGCCAGGGGTTACAGGAGGATCACAGCTGGGCCTCAGAGGAAGAGTGTGGGGCTGTGCAGATGAGAACAGGAGTCCCAGGAGGAGGAGCCAGCAGGAGCCAGGGCATGGAGGCAGGGATGTAGGCATGGGGGATGAGTGAGTCCTGGGCTGCCTGCAGGGGAGCCTGCCCGACCATCTTCAGGCCCTCCGACGCTGGTCTGGGCTGTCACTCATAATTTTGACAATTTTCAAACTTTCCTTCATACCTGTCAACTCCAAGAAAGGGCCCTGTCAGAACTGTCCCAGGTGGGGGTCACAGTCAGTGGCCACTAGGCTTGTCCTCAGGAAGGTGGAGGCCCAAAGCCCCACGGGTCTCACTCAGGTGTGAGTTGTTCTTCATGGAGTCAGGCTGGCCGGTGTCCCTGAGCAGGACGGGGATGGGGTAGTCAGTGCCTGTGTCCCCAGGAGAAGAGACATGGACACCCCGACTGCAACAGGGGACTCAGAGGTCCTTTGACCCAGGACCCAGGATGCTGGGGGTTAAAGGAGGCAGCAGCCCTTGAAAAATGGGGTGCAAGGCTCTAACTGCCCTGGGTACCCTGCGGGGAGGTCATGAGTAAAACTTCCAGAAATTCCAGGCTTTTAAGAATGTTAGCATTGGCCAGGCACAGTGGCTCATGCCTGTAATCTCAGCATTTTGAAAGGCTGAGACGGGCGGATCATCTGAGGTCAGGAGTTTGAGACCAGCCCAGCCAACATGGGGAAACCCTATCTCTACTAAAAATACAAAAATTAGTCAGGTGTGGTGGCGGGTGCCTGTAATCCCAGCTACTCAGGAGGCCAAGGCAGGAGAATTGCTAGAACCCAAGGGGTGGAGGTTGTAGTGAGCCAAGATCGTGCCACTTCACTTTAGCCTGGGCAAAAGAGCAAAACTCCATCTAAAAAAAAAAAATGTTAGCATTAGTAATTCTTTTGAAGTCTCAAGGATCATTCTTGCAGACTATTTTATTTGTTTAGACTAATGAGTGAGGGTGCCCAAGACACAGTGGTGGCACCTGGCGCCTGGAAACCAAGCATTCCACACTTGAGCCTGGGGCAGCCGCACCTCCCCCGATCCAGAGACAGGCGGGCTGGGCTTGGGTTTTGTATTTTTGAAAATTCGTGAAACCCCCAAATTATAGGATTTTATTAGTCTTGAAACAGGCCCCGTGGCTGTGGGCCCGCTGGACGCACGGCAGCTGTGTCTACTGCAGGAAAGCCCGGAGGAAGTCATTGTAGGAGATTTTTGAAGACAGCGTCTTGTCGTAATACTCCAGAATATGGAAGAACTCCTCTTCCGAGAGGTTGATGCCGTACTGTCTCAGGACCTGGAAGGCAGAGAAAAGGGGCCTCTGAGGCTTGTCTTGGTCCTAGGTTATGGAGGCAGATCCTCCATGTGCATCTGGGTGTGAAATGGGAGGAGACATGGGGCTGCCGTTGGGGGCTGCTTCCTGTTTGGGCAGAGGCTGAGAGGGCACAGAAAGAGCATGCACAGGTGGGAGGGTGACTTCAAAAGTAGGGTTGGGGACCAGGTGGACGTGTCCCCCAGCCCCCTTCCTGGCAGCCTGCCTCCATAACCTAGGGCCAAGACAAGCCTCAGTATGCCTGAGGGGCTGAAGGCTGGTCAGCATGATTAGACAAGGTTGATGGTCAGAGAGGTGGGGACTCTCGGGGAGACCTGGCCATGTGGCCATAACTTGGGGCGGGACCCCAGGGTACACCCAGGCAGAGGAGGGCAGGGCCAGTGGGTGCAGAGTACAGAGAATTGCTGTGATGAGACAGTAACACAGCCTGGAGCACAGCCTGCTGGTGGTAAAGCAAATACTGACTGCCCCTTCCTCTTCAGTTACAGAGCCTTTCTCCTGGGCTCCTGAGTGTCCAGCTAACCAGGAATATGTCTCAGTGTCTCCTGCAGCTAGGTAAGTTCTAGCCAGGGAAGCTAAGTACGAATGTTATGCGGAACATCTGGGAAGCCTCCTTTAAAGGAGAGGGGCATGCCCTTTTTCTCTCCTCTTTTTCCACCTGCTGCCTGGAATATGGCTGTAATGCAGGAGCTCCAGCAGCCACCTTGGACCATGAGGTTGGCTTGAGGAAGAAAGCCAGCAGCTGGGGATAGTAGAGCAAAAATGTGGTCCCTGATGATTGTCCAGCCACCACACCAGCTCTGCACTCCCTACCCCTGGACTTCCTTTCTGTGGGAGCGAAATAAACTTTCACTTTTTTTAAGCGGCTGTTATTTTTTTCTCCTGTTATATGATGCCGAAACAAATCCTGACAGACCCTTGTAATAAATAAATAAGGTCATCCATTTCCTATCCACACTTGTGTTATAATTTGTTTGTAGGAGGAGACTGTAAAGCCGGGCTAGACGGCCCAGAGGTCCCACAGGGTGGAGGTCAGTGGGCTGGCTGTCAGGTCCAATGGGATGAAGGTAGAAAAGGAAGCTGAGCCTGGTGTCCAAGACGGCCCCGCAGTTATACCATCCGACCTGCAACCATGGCTGAATTCCTGGAAAGTTGCTGGAAGGGAATGACAGAACCTGCCCTATTTCCTGCCTGACTTTGCTTGGAGGATAAGGGAGAATCTCTGACTGTGATTCATACTTGACCCCGAAGGAAAGAGGAACGTGCATGTGGATGGAAAACCACTGCAGGGTGTTCGTGAGGTGATGGGCGTGGGACACGGTAGGGGTGGGGCACCGAGGGACGTTGGGACAGATGCCCAATGGTGGGGCCCCACTATGCACTGCAGGGGCAGGGCTCACTTTGCAGGCCCAACATAGGTCAGAGATGCTCTTCAGAGCCTGCAGGAGAGCCCAGATGTGGGGCGAAGGCTTGGAGCAGCAGCAGCAGGAGCAGTGGTGGTGGTGCCTTAAGGGACCTGGGCTCAGGCCATGGAGGCACAGAGCATCCATGCAGGGCTCCAGAAACTTTTGGGAAGGAGAACTTGGGGTCTGCAGGTGAGAGGCGAGTGGACTCAGGCCTTGATCACTTGGGGGTCCCAAGGAAGTGAGATCTGAGACAGCCAGGTCACACTAGGCCTTCAGCAGGGGGTGGAGGCCCCCCACAACCCCATTGGAAGTTTCTGGCGACTGGCATTTGGCAGCTGCTCGCTGCATAGGCATTGGGCGCAGAGCCGGGCTCACCATCCTGAAATCGGCCACGCTGAGCAGCCCCGTGCCAGCCTCGTCATAGCTTTTGAACGTGCGCCGCATCGGCCTCCAGCAGTGCACAATTTTGGGCTGGATACGCAGCAGAGCAGAGTAAAAAGAAGAGGTCTCGGCGCCGGCTTCTTTCTAAACACAAGACAAGAAGGGGTGAGGAGGGAGCTTCTGAATGGGAGGGTGGCGGGGGCTCCTCCTTGCTCTGTCACGCCCAGCCCTGCTCCGGCTTCACCTCCCCACCTGCGCCACTGGCTCCCAATCTGGGATGGGGCCCGCCAGCAGAACTCATGACAAAGATGCGCGCCAGCCCTCTGACCATGACCAGTCCATGTGTGGGCTGTTTAAAAACATTTACTAATCAGCCATCTCATCTATACCTCCCCCACTGGCAACTGGAAAGAAGGCAGGTCTCTATCCCCATGTCACAGACTGGGAGACGGAGGTTCAGGGAGGTAAAGTGACGTGGGCTTCGACCCCAACACACTTCAGGCTGCAGGGAATGCAAGGGAATGCAAGGAGACGGCCAGGCAGATATGGGCCCATTTCAAAATAGTTTGAGGAAAAAAAGAGATTTCAGGCTGGGTCTTCTAGCAGGTTATTATAACGAGCAGTGTTACAAAAAGTTCACAAGGTTGTAATTCTATCAAGTAATTAGACAGTACACTAACTACACCGTGATTACTTCATTTAGGTGCCGTTAGATTGAAAGCAAGGTATTTGAGCATGGTTCAGTCCCGGCGTGTTTGAATATCACAGAGGTGAATGGTAGGCAACAATGGGTAACACGTTTTGGGAAAGTTGAATTTTAACACAACACTACATGAGACAGAGGAGCTCAGGGTTAAGCTGCTTTCATTTTTTTACATCATTTAGCACCTATGACGTGAGTTCCCCAGGTACCCATGGCTTCATGAGCTGCCAATTTGCCAATCAGCTGATCTACAGGTAGGGAAGAGAGGGTGAGGCCCGCCTGCCCTCCCACACCTAGTTTTTATCACAGGGAAGGAGAACCAGCACAGCCAGAGCCCCACCTCTGACCTGCCTTGCAGGGAGCAGCAGCACCACGCTGCCTTCCCCCAGGGATGTCTTTCTGCTGCTGCCTGCTGTGGTGGAGAAAGCTCCCAAATCACTAGAACGGGAAGTCACCCTTTTAGCTTCTCTGCAGGGAGACATTTGACCTGACCGCCACACTTATGCGGTGGTGGCCTTGGCAGCTGCCAGAGGGGACGAGGGTTGTGACCAGGACCATGTCAGGGGCCCACTCTCTCCTGGAAAGTGTGTGGCAGCTTCTCAATCCATGCCAGTCTGGTGCCGGGATTTGAGGAGGTGGAGTGGGGGAACTCTTCTGAACCACACAGTGGTGACTTGGGAGGGGTGGGGGGAGGGTGCCACAGTCTCTGTGGCCTGACCTGCAGCACTTGGTATGATCCCACTCTAACCCCAGCCTTGCAGGGTCGCTGAGGCTGGACAGTGCAGCTGGAAGATGGCGGCTGTGGTGGCCTCTTCACTGGCGAGGGCTCAGAAGGGGGCACTGGTGTGCTCTTGAGCAGGAGCCCATGTGCCTCCTACCACACCTTAGAGCCCTGCAGATCTCCAGAAGGAGAAACGGAGGCCGAGAGAGGTGGAGGAAGGCTGGAGTTGACAGAAGCCCTGCAGGCCATGCATCTCCAGGTTCTCACGTTCTTGGCTCCCGTGAAGATGGAATGAGGACAGTCTTCTCTGTGCACAGAAGAACTGAGCTGGCAGAACTGTCTTAAATCTTTTTCTTTTTTTTTTTTGTAAACTTGATCTAAGCTTTTAGTACCAGCTCCTGTTTGTCTAAACTAGAAGCTAGACTAAGACGGAAAATGATTTTGCACAAAATTGCAAATCTAGCTGTGAAAAAACTTTCTGCACGGCCTCTGCTTAACTGTGGCTGGATTAACACACTCCCCATTCCCTAGAGTCCCACAGCTGTGGCCCAGGCAGGTGTAGCCCTTGGGTGGGGTGAGTGGGGGCGGGGCCAGGGCTGTCAGCCCCACACTCCTGGTCCCTCCAGCTGAGTCATAAGGTGGTCGGAATCGGCTGTGTTTGTTCCCCACATCGACAGCACCAGATGTACTGGTACTTGTTATTTAATTCAACGTAACTCAATTCAACATTAATTCAGTACTAAAAACATTTTTTTTGGCTTTGTGTTTTGGAAGGGCTGGAGCAATTGCTGTGATCGCACTGGGTGTGGGTTTCAGTTAAGAAATTGTAAGTAGTTGAGAATAAAAGGTAAAAAATTCAGAAGAACTGTACCCTCCAGCTTCTCTTGAAGTGGCTTTAGGTTTTCATTCCTCTTCAAAGGAACAGAAAGAGAAAATTGTAGACAATGCATAGTGGGTATAGTTTATGCCAAGAAAGATGACAAGGGACTCCAGCCGCCACACACACTCTGGCCCCGTCTAAAACAGCTGGTGGGTGAAGACCCTTTCAGCTCCAGTGTTGACCAGTGCTGTGATGCATCCACCCCTCACTTTGCCTTTCGGGTTAACTGACCAGGCACAGCCCCCAGAGTGCTGTATGAAGCCTTGGTCACATAGATGCCTGGGAAGAGCCACCATAACCAGGTGTCTGCCACCCAAACAGGTGGAAAACCTGGGATACAGGCTACTGGTTCCCATGCTGGGGTCTCCAGAACCTTGTAGGATTCCAAAAGGAGAGGAAGAAAATCTTAAATCACTTCCAAGAAAGTAAATTTCTGAGCTGTTTTCAATATCTGCACAGCCTGGTAGAGGCCTTGTCTTTACCACAGCCCTTGCTCCCAGGTACGAGCCTCCAGCACACAGGCCATGGGCTTTGGGCCCCCTTCCACAGACTCTGGCTGTCTCATGCTGATCTGACCACTGCCTGGCCCTCTTTAAGTAACGGAGGAAATGGGGTGCCTAAGTATTGCTCATGTATCACATGCATGCAGAGAGCATCGGAGGAGGGTCTATGGAGAGGTGACAGCAAGGCCGGGGACATTTCACAGAAGAGGCCTGGCTGGCAGCAGGGCTGGACTGGCCTCTGGCCTCATACAGTCTCTGAGTCCACCTTTTCTGTGAAGCTTGGTGATGCACAAATGCAATGAATTAAGAAAAACGAGGCCGGGTGTGGTGGCTCACGCCTGTAACCTCAGCACTTTGGGAAGCTGAGGTGGGTGGACTGCTGGAGCCCAGGAGTTGGAGACCAGCCTGAGCAACATGGCAAAACCCTGTGATATGGTTTGCCTCTGCGTCCCCACCCAAATCTTATCTCAAATTGGAATCCCCAGTTGTCATGGGAGGGACCTGGTGGGAGGTGAGTGGACCATCGGGGAGGTTCCCCATGCCGTTCTTGTGAGAGTGAGTGAGTTCTCAAGACAGCTGATCGTTTTAAAAGTGTTTGGCAGTTCCCACTTCACTCTCTCTCTCTCTCCTGCTGCCATGTAAGAAGTACTTGTCTCTCTTTCACCTTCTGCCATGATTGTAAATTTCCTGAGGCCTCCACAACCTCATGGAACTGTGAGTCAATTAAACCTCTTTCTTTTATAAATTACCCAGTCTCAGGCAGTATCTTTGTAGCAGTGTGAAAATGGATTCATCTCCACAAAAATATAAAAATTAGCTGGATGTGGTAGCTTGTGCCTGTAGTCCTAGCTACTTGGGATGCTGAAGCAGGATCCCCTAAGCCTGGGAGTTCGAGGCTGCAGTGAGCCATGAACCACTGTACTCCAGCCTGGGCAACAGAGTGAGACCCTATCTTGAAAAATATCAAAATAAAAAAAATGCAAGTACCACTTTCCACCTGGCTCCACGTTTTCTGCAGGTGGGCAACGTACCATTTTGTGTGCGTTCTGGATCTTCATTCTCTGCATCAGTGAGGTTTCCTTTGCTTTTAGCAGGAGGACACAGCTCTGAATGAAGTCGCAGTATGCAAATTTCCCATTGTTCTTTAAGTCGTATTTTATAATGAGCTGCTGACACTCCTCTTTGCTTATGTCCAGGTTGAATTTCTCCACAAGAGCTACAGACAAGAATGGCAGTTCAATTGGTGGCGATTCATTTATTCGTTCATTCATTCATTCATTCTTCACTCATTCATTCAACACTTGCTGAGCCACCTTCTCTGCTTTAGGCCCCGCTTGGTCCTCACATCAAAGAACTCACGGTTGATGGCTGGTCATACACGGAGACAGACATGCGACAAACTAAGTGCCACAGGGAGGAGGACCCCGAGTCCCACTGGCCCACACTGTCCTTGGTCTGCATGGTCACAACTTATGAACAGAGACTATGGAAGCTATGACCAAAGTGCAGAGAGGGACGTGAGGGGACGTTCCCCACCAAGTCGGGGCAGAGCCAGAGCAGGGGAAGTCTCCCTGAGCTCACGTGACCCTGGCAGAGGCTGGGCTGTGGAGAGGGAGTTCAGACTCGGCCCTATGACCAAGTATTTCCTAACTGGGCACCGGAGACAGGCTCTCTAGCATCTGTTACGCCATGCAAATTCATGCTTTAAGTTTCCATCCCAATGATGGTCTAAAACATAGAAAACTTATTCTGCCTACAGGAACCACCACCCTCAGGAGACAACAGCTGTGCAGCCTCAGGGGCTGAGTCCAGCCTTCTGATCAGGCTCATGTGGATGCCCCATGGGGAGTGTTGCTGGTGGCCAAGAGGCTGGCCTGCCACAACCTCCAAACAGCAAGGCACTTGTCCTCATGCCGCATTCTCCTGCCAGTTGTAAAGACAACACTTCTCTGTAAGTGACACCTCATAATTGAAGGAGGCTTATGTAGGATCAGATTTAAGTTTCATAGGCTAGACTTTGCTTCGACATCCTGAAAGAACAGAGTGTCAGGGAGCGGAATGCCATGTGAGTTGTTGAGGCAAATGAGGAAAGCCAGCGGAAGCAGACTCCATGTCAACGACACCTGCATGACAAGCCAGGCCAAGAGAGTCTGCTGCACGTTCTACAAACAGAGATTTCTTTGCCCTTGCAAAGAGGGAAGCAGCAGCAGGCATGGTGCCTGCCAGGACACAGCAGGGGCCCACGGAACCCCAAGGAACTGGCCACACGTGCTTCTGATGCTCTGACTTGCAGAAGGCCATCAGCACTGAGAAGAAAATACAGAATGACTTTTGGAAAGTAACCGGCTTTTTTTATAGTATTGAATTTTGGATGAGTGACTAACGTCTGACACGCCTATGATAATAACTGCGTGGGGGCTTAAATGAGTTCCTGCTTAAACAGAAAAAGCCAGCAATAGCAATAAGGACAGTAACACAGTGAAGGTGTATCACTCTCAAAATATCAAAGAATTAACTAAAAGAAAAGCGGAACTCCAATGCGTATGACAATCAACACGCATGTTTTGGCTTCAGCAAAACGTTACATTCAATCGGTGTTAACAACATTTGAATATTACTGACTTCAGATTTTTTATACTTAATTTACAAGTGTTTTTGAAAAATAAGCTCTAACTTAAAGAGCTTACACCTGGTTTAATTTGTGCATTTTAAAGCCATAATTATGATAAAAGTAATTTATATTAATATTGGAGGATCTCAAAGAAAACATTTTCCTTTAAAAGGGGTCTATTAGTCATATATAGGTGGAACTAAAAAGTCAAGGAGTGACATGGTCAGATGGATTTTCCAGTAACGTAAAATGTTGCATAAAAAAGGTGTAACTGGGCTGGGTGTGTTGACTCACACCTATAATACCAACACTTTGGGAGGCTGAGGTGGGCAGATCACTTGAGATTAGGAGTTTGAGACCAGCCTGGCCAACATGGTGAAATCCTGTCTCTACCAAAAAATACAAAAACAGGCAGGCATGGTGATGCACAGCTGTAAATCCCAGCTACTTGGGAGGCTGAAGTGGGAGAATCGCTTGATTCCTGGAGACAGAGGTTGCAGGGAGCTGAGATCATACTACTCTACTCCAGCCTGCATGACAGTGAGACCCTGTTTCAAAAACAAAAAACCCCCAAACAACAAAACCACAAAAACCTAAAAACCAATATGCAACATTTACTGGAAGTATAAATCCCGCTGGTTTAATTTAAAAAGTTTATCAAAGTGACTCATGCTGAAAAACAAAACAGCATCAAAGAGTGGATGTTGATGGGAATGGAGCCCCAGGGGCATCCCTGCTTCAACCTGCCCTCCATCTCCTTCAGCGGGCAGAGCCTGAGAACATTCAAGCTCTGCCCAGGGTGGCAACCACGCCTGTGATTTCCAAAGCTCAGAGTTAGTGCAGTGCTGACTTTACCATGCAGATGGAACCCCTGCTGGGAGGGGCAGTTGGTCGGAATCCTCCTCCCTGGGGACCTTTGATTAGTGAGCTGTGCAGCCCACCCTGAATTTCCCCCGTTTCCCGTTCTACTGCTCCCTGGCCTCCACCCAGGGTGGGGTGTGGCTTTGTGCCCAGTGGGAACAGCCCCTTGCCACAGGGGCTGACGACGGATTGCCAAGGGGATAGACTCAAAACGAACCCAGGAACTCGGAGGCATTGATGTTCCCCTGTCTGCCCACATCCTTCTCCTTGCATTCTTTCAGGAGCTCTCGCCAGCAGCCCTGGATTCTCTTCCGGAGCCTGCTCTCTATGGGATCACAGTTCTGCAAGGGTGGAGTGCCCAGGATCGTGGCGGTGTTCGCTGGAGTCTAGCAGGGAAGAAAAGAAAAGGCTCTTTTCACTTAAGATGTAAAATGGAAGCCATCAAAAATACCTCTGTACGTCAATACCTCCGGTTTTGAGGATCACAATTAGCCCAGAAATAAAATGAAGAATAAAACATAGGTGGTAATTTTACTAGGTAGCTTTTATTTCCATTGCTGGGCTATATGTACTTGTGCCAAGCCATAATAACCAAAATAATTTTGGAAATAAATATGTAAGCCAAGGTTCAAATCTATACAGATGCGATGTTAAAACATACTTCTGGTGTGTGTGTGTGTGAGAAAAGTGATAATGGCATATATTTCACTAGCAGAAGACTCTTATCCAAGAAAGGGATTTACTTGTCATGGGCACGAGACATCCAATCCATAAACATTCACAGAATATCTGTTATTTTGACATTATGTGGACCAAGTATAGGGCTGTTCTTTGCTTTATTGTATTTTCCATTTAAAAACAAGAGAGTGGGCTGGGCGCGGTGGCTCATGCCTGTAATCCCAACACAAAATGGGTGAGTCATTTGAGGTCAGGAGTTCGAGACCAGCCTGGCCAACATGGTGAAATCCCAGCTCTACTAAAAATACAAAAATTAACCAGGCATGGTGGTACATGCCTGTAATGCCAGCTACTCGGGAGGCTGAGGCAGGAGACTTGCTTGAACCCAGGAGGTGGAGGTTGCAGTGAGTCAAGATCGTGCCATTGCACCCCAGCCTAGGTGATACAGCAAGACTCTGTCTCAAAAAAAAAAAGGGAGTGGATTTAATTTAGCCCAGGTGTTTCTCCTTCTTCCAGTTGCTCAGGTGGAACCCTTAGAAGTCTTCCTTGACTCTCCTGCTCCCTCCCCATTCCACATCTGATCCCTCAGGAAATCCTGTTGACTCTACCTTGAAAATACATCCAGAGTCTCACCCATCCCAAGCCACCATCGCCTTTGCTAGACCTCCTCACCGACCCCCAGCCTCAGCACCAGAATGGTCTTTAAAGAGTCCCTCAGACTACGTCGCTTTGCTGCTTAAAACACAAAGTCTCCATGCCCCTCGAATGAATGCCAAAGTCCTCATCATGGCCTCCAGCCCTCTGGTCTCCTACTGCTCCTATAACAGATTTCCATGAATTTAGTGGTTTAAAACAACACCAGTTTATTATGTTACAGTTCTAGAGGTCAGAAGTCTGAACTGGGGCTCACTGAACTAAAATCAAGGTATCCAGAGGCTCAAGGGGAGAATCCATTTTCTTGCCTTTTCAGTTTCCAGAGGCTTCCCACAATCCTTGGCTTGTGGCCCCTTCCTCTCTCGCCAAAGCCAGCAGCATCAGGTGGAACGCATTAGCGATCAGCGTTAGCGTCAGATGGCACCTCTCCAGCCCTGAGCCTTCTGCCTCGGGATTCCCAGTTAAAGACCCACGTGATTACTCTAAGCCCACCTGTGTATTCCAGGATAATCTCCCCAAGACCAGCTGATTAGCAACCTCAGTTCTGTTTGCAACCTTATTTTCCCCTACCATGTGAAACAACATAGTCACAGCTTCCGAGGATTAGGACACAGGTATCTTTGGGGTGCTGCTAACCCCTCTTCTTTCTGCTCTACTTACTGCCTTTTAACATAAGAAATACTTATGCTTACTGCTTTCTTGCCTGTCATCCCCTGAAAGAACATAAACTCTGTAAGAGCAGGAACCTTAGTTCATTCTCAGCTGTAGAAAATACCCAGCACACAGTAGGTATGCAATAAACTTGTACGGAGTTAATGAAAATGGAATAGCCAAGGTCATGCACAGTGATGGTGGCTTTATGTGCATGGCGTGGCATTCTCTCAACCACCCTGTCCTGGTGACGTTGCCATCCCTTTCTGAAGACAAGAAAAGAGCCTTGGTGAGCCTGGGCACCTTCCTCGCTCCCAAACCTGGGGTGGCTCAGCCAGGGTTCCAGGCTGTGCAGCTTGACAGGCCTGGGCTCAAAATCAGGTCGCTCCACATCTGAGGAACTAAGATCACATGAGAAAGCCTCTTAGAGCCTCACTGTCTTCAACTGGAAAATGGGTATAACTAGCCTCAAGGGACTGCAGCCTGCAGTTGACCACAGGGCCTTGCCTTCCGCACAGAACTGCCGGCAGCACCATCACACCGCGCCAGGTGCCCCCTGCTTCCTTTCCCACCTTGCACCTGCTCATGCCTCCTTTCCATCCCACTCCTCCGCCGTTCCCATCCCCACATCTTCCCCTCCCCGGGAATGGGTGCTAAGGGCCCGCCCCAGTGGGCTCCTTGCCTGTGGCCACCCTAGGCTCACCCGGCTTCTCAGCCACCAACCCCTGGGCCACACCAGTCCCCATCCCAGCGGTATTTGTGGATGTGGCATGAGGTGGCCTGGGACACTTGGAAGAATGGAGAACTCACACAGGGGTGACTCCGAGACTTTGACCCTGGTCTTAACTCCCGAGTGGGCGATGAGAGGGCAGATCTGGTGCTTTCCGAGATGTCAGGGACACTGCTCCCTCTCTGGGCTGCAGCCGAGTCGCCCGAGGCCATCGGTGTGGCTGGTGTCTCAGAACTGAACCTGCTCAGGAAGTCCGGGCATTTCAGCCTCCCCTTGGCATTGACTGGCATCTCGTTCCAGAGTCTGTCAAACTGGAGAAGGAGCAGAAGTCATTTCCCAGGTGCCAGTGCAAACACAGGCAGCGTGGCACCTGTGCCAGCGAGAATTGGGGGTGGGGGGGCGGTCTCGAGGGAGGTGAGCGCTCACGTGACTGGTGGGGGTCCAGGGCTCACGTCAAGAAGAAAATTAAAAAAAGTAAAACGGCCATTTGGCTTCGCTCGGTGGAGGCCTCCAGAAGACTGGAAAAGCAAAGACAAGAGGGTTATTCATGGCTTCGGCAGGACATTTTTTAATTGAATTGGGCCCTCAGTGAGCACTTTAAGGCCATTAAATCTTGTGATTAGTCACAGTGCCTGCGCTGCAATGTATTTGAACATTTGGGAGAAAACGCAGATCAGAGCCCCCACCCACCTTCGTCCCAGGAAAGCCCAGTCAGACTCGTTTCTCACCCTTCCAGGCACACCTGAGTTCTGCAAACAGCTCACCAGGTGATGCCGCCCTCAGCCTCTGCATTTGCATCCACGATTTATTTCACCCCAAGGGCAAAAAATGTCTTCTCACAAGATGAAAAGGGAGGCCCTTGGAAAACCAGGGAGCGGTTGATGGCTTTGTAGTTTTGCTGTCTGATGCCACAGACTATATCAAAACCACACACCATGCAGATAGAACAAAATGACTCAATGCATCCTAAACAAGCCACTGCTGGTGACTGGAGGACTTTTATGGAGCCGAGAAGAAGGGTAACTCCTTCCAATTTGATTTTTGTACAGCCCCAAAAGCCCGAGGGAGCCCCAGCCTCCAGCACAGCTGATGGAGAGAAACCTCCAGAAAGGCAGCCCCAGCCCCTTCCTTCCTGTCCTGTGCTTTCCCCTGGAAGCCTGGGCTCTGCCAGAAACCGAGTTGCTTCTGGGTCTCCACTGGGGTTTTCAAAAGCAAATTAGAAGTGACCATCTTGGGCGTGATTTGAATTCTCCGGGAAGAAGCAGGGGTGCAGGAGTGGGGATGGGGTGCAAAGGCAAAGGCTACGAGTTTTAGTTTGGGAAAAGATTCTCAATTTGTCTTTTTACTTTTTGTTTAGAAATAATTATATATTTGCAGGAGGTGACCAGGACAGTACAGTGAGGTCCCTATACTCTTTCTGCAGTTTCTCCCAACGCTCTTATTTGAAAACACCAGAACCAGGAGGTGGGCATGGGCAGAGTGCAGGTGTGGTCTGACGTCATTTTACTATACGTGTAGATTTATGTGGATTGCATGCTGACCAATGAGGAAAAACTATTCTGTGGAGAAGTGAGGGGACCTTGAGGATGTGACTGCGGTGTCTCAGACCTCACTGGTGCCAAGTGCAGTAACCCATCAGACAGGAATCAGCTCTGCCACCTCTGTGTCCTCCAGGACCGTTGGCCAAAACCACTGGGCAGACAGCCCCCACTGACACCTTCCCACGTGGTGCCGAAATCACCTCTGCAGGTGACCTCTGCCCCCGGCCTGGAAGCTCCCTGCAGGATCCTCTGAAAATCGGCTTTAAGTGTCAAACATCAGGCAAAGGGGCAGGAACACAGCAGGTGCTGAATACATGTTTGCTCATTGGCTGAAGTTCCTAAGAGACTCACATGGTCAGACCCAGGGGATGGACGTTTCAAGGTGAGAGCAATGGAAGGTGTAGAACCTTGTTCTGACCCCTCCTCCTGAGGCCCTCTCAGGGAGCAGAAGAGGACGTGCTCCATAGGGGAAGACCTGGCAGCTCTTGCCCTCCTATTTGAACTGGACTAGGAGCTGAGATCATGCCGTGAAGGATAAGCACCCAGGGAGGTCAGTGTGTGTGCTGATAGGTGCTGTGAAAATGAAACTTGGTGGGAGACGATTCCGGGGCTCCCAAGGACAACCTAAGGACCTCCTCTTCTAACAGGGTGGCTGGGGCTGGCCAACTCCTTAAACAAATTCTGTGGTGCTGGCCGGGTGTGACAGCTCACGCCTGTCATCCCAGCACTTTGGGAGGCTGAGGTGGGTAGATCGCCTGAGGTCAGGAGTTTGAGACCAGACTGACCAACATGGTGAAACCCCAACTCTACTAAAAATACAAAAATTGGCTGGGCATGGTGGTGGGAGCCTGTTAAGCCCAGCTACTCAGGAGGCTGCGGCAGGAGAATCGTTTGAATCTAGGAGGTGGAGGGATCAGTGAGCCAAGATCGTGCCACTACACTCCAGCCTAGGTGACAGAGGGTGAATCCATCTCCAAAAACAAAGAAAAAAGTTCACTGGTGCAAAGGAGGCCATGAGGGACCATCGGAATCCTTTTTTCATCCTATTTTAACGGAAGGGCCTCAGAATAGGAGGGTGGAGGAGGTATCACCAGAGGAGATAGCCCGGGCCCGCACTTGGCCTCCAGTCTCCACGGAGGCACCTAGAACACCAATGGGCCAACAGCGCCAGGATGGGGGCTGGCGGGCACCGTGAGGCCGGGCAGACTCTGGGGAGACTGGATTCTGAAAACTGCCAGCCAGTGAGCTTGATGTGAAACGTGGGTATAGACGCTGCTGGACTGTGGAAGCACCAAAAGCAAGTGAGTTTGACATCAGTATGGCAAGGTCTGTGCATGCCGAATCGTCCCGTCTCCTTGAACCACCAGCTGAACACTGAGAAAGACACCACAGTGGGTTCTGACTCAGCTTATGATGCAGAAAAGCGGCAAGACAGGGCTGCTTGCCTTCAACAGGGACGAGCCAGGCCACCTGCAGAGGCAGTACTTCCTCTGAGCCCATGAGCTGGGGTCACAGGGAGCCAAGTGGAGGGACGGAATGCCAGAGCCCCAGGCTCCAAGGAGAGCCAGACAGGTCACCAGCTCTCACTCCCGGCAAAGTGTGGGAAGAAGTGGTGGCAGTCACCAAGGAGGGTAGGAAGAAGTCAGTTCATCTTGGAAAAATTCTGAAGGCCACGTGCAGACTGATGTGTCAGTCTAGGACAGCTGGGGGACCCAGGAACGAGGGCGGCTCACACCTGCCCCCAGCCCTCCTCCTCATGCCCCACTGGTGCTCTGCATCCACCTGCAAGCCTGTGGTGACACCGTGTGTGTGGGACCACTTCTCCAGAAGCCCCTATAGGAGGCAGAAGCCTTATGCCGCTGGGGAAATCCACTCAACCCTCTGCCTCTTGAACGGGGGTAGGAACCCATCCTTCCACTGGGAACCCAGCCCAGGCTCTGCGGGAGAGGAAGGACCAACATCCCTGCAGAATGGGTAGAGACCTCTAGGGCCCAGGGTCTGTTCCTCTACAAAGCAGAGGTCTGAGGGGACAGGCCCAATAGCCGTGGAGACAGGAGGCAGAGTGGGCTGCCCTGGAGCGGCTGGATGGGACCTGGGCAGTGAGAAGGCTCCACTTGAGGCCCAGAGGCGCAGAATGCCCCCACCCCAGCACCAGCCAGGGCAGCAAGAGAGGGAAAGGGACCCCTCTTGGGCACTGATGTGAGCCCAGGGTGGCACAGGAATGCTGAGAAGACCCTGTGGTGGCCCATCCCGCACAAGAGCCCACAGATCTTTCTTCTGGTGTCTCCTAGTTCTAGACATTTCTCTCTCCAACCTTTACCTCTGTGTCTTCACCCCTCCTCCTGGAGACCAGCTATGCGCCCACCCACCACTTTTACCCTATCCTTCATCTCAGCCCTCACCTCCCTCCTGAATGAAGCTTGGACCCCACACAGCCACGTCCTCACTCTCACTCCTCCCTCCCAGCCTTCCCCTGAGCTTACTGGCAAAGCTCCTGCTGTAACTGCCAGACATGCATCCGACTCTTCCCCCGTGAATGTCCCTTGCTGCTCTCTGCAGCAGCCCCTCCGTGCCATTTCCTCTTCTTAAATATCCACTATGGTCCTCTCGCTCTCAGCTGATAATCTTACCCCGTATTTCACAGAGAAAACACACATGACATCAAACTGACTGCATCTATGCTCCCGCCCTATAGTTACAGGAAGAGGTCTCAGCTGCTATTCAGGCCACCCTCCTCGTGTCTCCGGATACACTCCTATCTAGTCTGCCTTCTCGAACTACAGAGGCTGGGCAGCTGAAAGCTACTGTGCCCGTTTTCCTCTGTAGCAGACACAACTGCCTGCAAAGTAGAAAGAAGGAATGAGCCCCGGTGGTGACCAGCTCTTGTGGTCTGCTTGGCGGCAGAGCTGTTCAGTCGCATCCCCTTGGCACCACAGGAGCTGGGCTCTGCTGGGAGGCAGTGGCAGTGGGTTTCTTCTGGAAGAATCTCCTGGTGGGGTTGGGGTTCTCTTGGCTGCCACATTCTTGGAGGTGGGGACATCCTCCCTGGTTCTCTAGCCCTTCCAGAGCTTCTGTAAGATCCTAATATCCCTCAAAAAAATGCTTTCTGCTTGAACTTGCCTGGGTAAATCCTGTAACCTGCAACTAGGAACGCTGAACAGTACATAAAGCAATAAAAAAAGTCTCCAGATAAATCGGATCAAAAGGATATTCAGATCATGTCTGAATTCAGACATGAAAACAGACGTGGTTACGTCTGCTTCAGTGGTGTCTTTTTCAGTGGCCAGATTGCATGCTTTCTGGCCACAGTACAATACAAATAGAAACTGATCATATAATACCCTATGTCTGGAAAGCAAAAATCTCACTTCTAAGTAGTTTATGGTTTAAAGAGATCCTAGGCACTATGGCAGCCTAGATATTCTAACAAGTTTCTGTTCACAAAACGCCCAGTTGATGGATACGTACTTTTAAAAACATACTTTTAAATTCATTGTAGAGTTCACAAGGAAGGACAAGCAAGTCATTAGGGGCCAGGAACGCTGCTAACCCCAAAGACAGGTGAAGAAAAACCCGAAAGCCAGCTCACAAAAGCTAATCCTGGGAGACCAAGGTTTTGGGGATTGATGATGCTCAGGGGTTGGGAAACTGAGGCACAAGCCTGGAGATCCTGGCATAATGAGCCAGGTTACCTGATGGGCTGTATCTTCAGTGCAAGGCTGGGTGAGGAAAACCTGCATGGCTCTGAGCTCCAGGCTGGGCACAAAC